ATTACAGTTTAACACATATTCACATAGAAAACAGCTGTTTTAAACTCTAATAATATTTCACAATTTTACTGTATTTTTGATCAAATAAATGCAGCCTTGCTGAGCAGAAGAGCCTCTTTCAGAAATCTTTCTGACCCCAAACTATTGAGTGTTCGTGTGTTTTCACTGTGCACCTCCTCCAGATGCTGAACTGCTGCATCGAGCGCAAGAGAGCGAGGGATGATGGGAGGAAGAGCGGCGTGTCAGACAGGAGCCGTCAGGGGCCCGAGAGCGCGGGGCCCGCTGAAGTTTCTCCGGGGAAGTCCTGGGACTCGTGGAGCGACAGCGAGGAGGAGTTCTTCGAGTGTCTGAGCGACACGGAGGAGATGAAGGAGACGGAGAACGAGAAAAAAACAGCCAATAAGAGCAAAGCTGAAGGTCGCCTGCAGCCGCATGGCAAACTGACTCTTCTGAACTCACCGGAGCCGCTCTTCATCCCCGTCACACAGGTCAGATCGCCCACATACTGCTTATTATTAGTGTTCAGTGGTGGCATGTGCTTTTGCTGAACCCATCAGTTTGCATTATTTCAACTTACTTTTAAAATAATCATCTTTAACAGCAGAATTTGTAGTGAAAATGACATTTCCCATGATGCTATGCAGAAAATTCCACCAATCAGAGAATAATTAGAATGATTTCTGAAGATCATGTGACACTGAAGACTGGAGTAATGATGCTGAAAATACAGCTGCGCATCACAGAAATAAATTACAGTTTAACACATATTCACATAGAAAACAGCTGTTTTAAATTATAATAATATTTCAGTTTTTACTGTATTTTTTATCAAAGAAATGCAGCCTTGATGAGCAGAAGAGAGTTCTTTTAAAAAAACAATAAAATTCTTACTATATACAGTATATATGCATATTTTCATATTTTGCAATAAACCATCAACGTCAAATTAGTTTCATGTTTCACCATCATTTTTTATTCAATTGTCATTCTACTAATGGTATGCGGCCGGCCAAAGTTAACTTTATTTTAATCAGAACACTAAACCATTATTTCCCCCGGCTGCATCTGCGAGGCGTCCGTTACACATCTCCCCTGTGTGTTACCGGCAGTATTTATGACTGTCGCATGTCTGACTACTTTACTCTTGGTAATGCTTTTTACAGTGCGTGCGTTTCTGTTCGTGAACTGAATTCTTCATCAAGCGCACCTTCGCACAGAGAAAAAGACTTAAAAGCGAACACCAAGCAGGCCTACTTAAACACTGAGTAATGAGCCCATATCATTTGGCGTGGTTACGGAGGTAGAAACATAAATCAGTGTTTCAGTCTGTCTGTATATTCTCTCATTTGACCTGTGTCTTCATCATCATCATCTTCATCATGTCCGTGTGTTAGTATCACATCCACGGCGCTTGACGTCTAATGAGTCTCAGCTCGTCATACCTTAATTGTTGTGCTGGTTAAGTGTCGCTCTTAGTGACGCACCGAAATTTCAGTAATCAGACATTGGCCGAAACATGACTGTATTAGCATCTGTTTTGTGCTCACAACATGGATAAACTACAACAGCTGTGTAAACACTAGTGCTGGATCGATTTTTGTTCTTAAGCGCTCTTTATCTTGATGAACCGATATTGAATCATTTGAACCCCAAATCAATCTTTTAGTCTGTGCTGTTTTCAGTTGAACAAAACTTCACTAAACATCATTTCTAGCTCCTGCCATCTAGCAATCACTCTACGTTTTGTGCTTTGTTACTTCTGTTATGAACCAAAGTCCGTCCATTTTATCACTAAATTCAGTCAGTGAATGTGTTTTTGCTGCTCTTTAATGTGTGCTGACAGATGCTGGATAGTGAAGCGATCATCTCGTCCTCTTTACTACTAGTTACAGCAGCAAATAAACACGAACGAGCATCAGAAGAAACAGAACAACTCAATCATGGAATCGATCAATCACAAAGATGTCAATAAAACAGCCTGTGAACAGTAATGTCAGGAAAGACATTCAATGACCATAAACTAGAGAGTCGGCTAGAAAAAACAACTCTTGAGGAGCATTTCGCTGAATAAATGCACTGTGTGTGACTGAATGAGCCTGTCGTGAGAGAGCAGATGAGTGGAGTAACTCTCACAGGGGTTTCTGCCTAATCGAGATGTTGTTAGGATTGCACTGGAAAACAAAACAAAAAATGCATTTCTCTTCTGCTCTAGTTTGCTGTCTAATAAACATGGCATTGCACACTGCCGTTTACTGTCTGGCTGTTGTGCTCGGGTAAAAGAGTCTACTAAATGCTTAAATGTAAATGACCATTTTTGCATCACATTTTTCATCCGTGAAACCGAGTGAATCGTGCTTGTACTGTGCTGCTGATAACTGTTATTATTGTGCCGCAGGAGCCCGCGCCCATGACTGAAGACCTGCTGGAGGAGCAGTCGGAGGTTCTGGCCAAACTGGGCACGTCGGCTGAAGGAGCGCACCTCCGCGCCCGCATGCAGAGCGCCTGCCTGCTCTCAGACATGGAGTCCTTCAAGGTGAGCTGTGTGCTCGTCAGTGAGAGGTCTAAAGGTTATGATAGCACTGCATTCTGGAGTCAGAAATGAGCATCTCCACGTCCCACATGCTCTGCAGATGTTCAGCATCTGTGTCCTGGCAGCAGATTGTTGTCAGTCATGTCACCTGTAATTCACTGTGAGTCCAGCTGATCTCCAGCGCACTGTGTAACAGCATTCTGACCACTGTCAGCCGGAGGAACATCATCTCTAGTGCCATCCAGCCTGAGGATTACATGAAGGACTTTTAATTTTAAGAAAATATGTGACCCTGGACAACAAAACCAGTCATAAGGGTCAATTTTGTGAAATTGAGATTTATACATCATCTGAAAGCTGAATAAATAAGCTTTCCATTGATGTATGGTTTGTTAGGATCGGACAATATTTGGCCGAGATACAACTATTTGAAAATCTGGAATCTGAGGGTGCAAAAAAATCTAAATATTGAGAAAATCATCTTTAAAGTTGTCCAAATGAAGTTCTTAGCAATGCATATTACTAATCAAAAATTAAGTTTTGATATATTTATGGTAGGAAATTTACAAAATATCTTCATGGAACATGATCTTTACTTAATATCCTAATGATTTTTGGCATAAAAGAAAAATTTATAATTTTGACCCAAACAATGTATTGTTGGCTATTGCTACAAATATACCCCAGCGACTTAACACTGCTTTTGTGCTGCAGGGCCACATATGTCTTTTTTTCCCCTCAGAATTTGACTTTATATCTCACAAGTCAGAATTGTGAGATAAAAGGTCGCAATTACTTTTTTTTAAATTCCGTGGTGGGAACAGACTTCCATAGATTGCTCATGCCAGTGCAGAAACGAGAAGCTGGCTCCGCATCCACACGACAACAGCGAGCAGATTATATAACGCATCCTCCTCTACCAGACAATAGCTCCTCCTGTCTTCAATTCACTGAATCTTTTATAGCTTTCACCTTTTAAAAACGCCGCTTGGCAGAAGCCAAAGGGAGAAGCATCATTCATTTTCATAAGCACCTTATTTTCCATCCCTCTGTCGGATAACGGCGAATTATCCCGAAGCGTTATGCCGTGGACAAGCCCCAGAGATTAAGGAGCGAGGGATTTGTGTGGGAAGGGAACGCTCCGTGAGCACAGCGAGCACAGCCTCATTTCCCACTCCTCCTTGCGCGCTATGAAGCCAGAATGCTCGTTTTTGAGCACCGGGGGGCGAGACCGATGTGGAAAGGTGACATTTTGTGTCTATTTTGCCTCGCTATAGCCTGTTCAACTGCCCTACAAAACGCTCTAATTTCCTGAGCCGACACACCAGCTCGTCTTATTGCAGCGGCGGACCGCTGTGAGCGCAGCCGTCGCAGTAAATGGCCCCTTTAGCTGAAGATAGTCTCTAAATTTAGCAGCAGTGCTGTCTGTAATTGTGCTTAGCCAAGCATCATTTGCCATTTTGGCTTTAATTACCATCTCCCTCCGGGTGGAGAGCAGAGAGAGCCCAATATGATGAATGGGGCGTCCTAAAATCTGACGGCGCTGGCGCTCCGCTGGATGACGGGCCGTCAGTGATCAGCTGCAGCGGTTCATCTGCTGTTAGAGATTATCAGAATGCTCTCAGGGATCAGCCTGTACAGGAAAACAGCAGCTCAGTGACTCGTTACACACTACAGCTTTACTGTGTTCATCACATGTGAGTCACGTCTGTGGAAAAACTCTCCGGCGGCCCGACCGCTGTCACAGGATTCAATAAGCTGTTGCTAAGGTGTTCTTAATAGTTGCTAGTGAGTTGCTAAGATGTTGTGAGTGGTTGCTAGGCATTTGCTCTGGTATTTCTGGTATCTGTCTTAAGTATCAGCACAGGCTGATGTGAGGAGTCGTGGTTTGTGGTGTTTTCAGTGTTGTTGTGGATTGGCTGGTTTTTGGAAGCAGCACACAGTCGAGATCTGACAAGAAATGTGTTTCTGTAAGTCTCGCTGAAACTGTCATCATTATGTCTGGTTTGTGTGTCTCTCAGTAATTATGGAGTATGAAAGTGCTCAGGACTTCAGCGACTGATGGAAAGGTCATCCTGAGGAACTTTGAGTCTGTAGCTCATTTATAAAAGAAGTGTGTAATGATAAATCACACACTGATGAATAAATACATACACCAATAAATACACACACCAAAAATTACATAATAACACCAATAAAAACAAGCACACCAGCTATACGCTTTACTCACAGCATTCCTGCTCATCTGGAGACCATTATATATGTATGTGTGTGTGTGAGTCTGATTGCGTATGAGTGTGTATGAGTTTGAGTGTGCATGAGTGTATGAGTTTGAGTGTGTGTGTGTCTGAGTTTGAGTGTGCATGAGTGTGTGTGTGAGTTTGAGTGAGTGTGAGTTTGTGTGTGTGTGTGTCTGAGTTTGATTGTGCATGAGTGTGTGTGTGAGTTTGAGTGAGTGTGAGTTTGTGTGTGTGTGTGAGTGTGTGTGTGTGAGTTTGAGTGTGCATGAGTGTGTGAGTTTGAGTGTGCATGAGAGTGAGTTTGAGTGTGCATGAGAGTGTGTGTGTGTGAGTTTGAGTGCATGAGAGTGTGTGTGTGTGAGTTTGAGTGTGCATGAGTGTG